AATAAACAAACAAAGTCCTTTTCCATTCCATCTTGCACCATCTGAACGTTTTGCACATCCTTCATCAAAGCTTGCATCACGTTCATTCTATTTGACATATCTTTCAATCTTTGTCTTCTTAATGCAACGCATCGTTGTAATTTTTCTTCTTTTCCTTTCTCAGTTAGCTTACGTGACCGTCTTTGTCCCAGATCTGTTACACTGAAAGCGTGTCTACGCTCCTTCTCTTCATCCATCTTATCAGTTGCTGAGTGGCTCATTATGTCTGAATGCAATGTTCAAAAGCACCTTTTTCTTCAGTGGTCACTTTTCTTAATGGGAACGAATGCAAGCAGTTTCTTATTCAAGCCAAACTGCATGGACAAATTAAGGCTGCGATGTGCGCTCATGCACTGGCGAAAGTTACGTGTCACTTTCGTTTTCGATCACGTAGGCTTCGTTTCGCTTGTTAGCTTGCGCTAGCTTACGTTAGCTTTAGCTTCGTTCGTCGTAGCTTTATCTTCTGCCGCGCTTTTCGCGGACATAAAGGACAAGAAAATTCTTCTTCTACCTTTCTTGTAGAATCAACGGATCGACCGGCTTCCTTTCTCTGTGTTTCTCTCGTTGATTTACGTCCAGCTGCCTTCTGTTGGGCCTTCTTCGGCGCGGTAGGCCTTTTCTCTCCTTCGACGCGGCACAAGCTAACTAGCTTCTTAGCTAGTTTTTTGACAAAATGTCGGTGCTATTCCGGTGCACCTTTGAGGCCAGCGTAACGACGAGTCTTGAACGCAAACAACACGACATTGACTTCTTTGTATTTTCTGTTTATTAAAAAATAAAATATACAAAAATGTTCTCTTCAGTTTGTCTAATTCGTTTGTCTGTATTGTATGTCAGAATTGTATGTCAGAATTGTATGGTCAAAAAACTATTGCTTCTACTCTCCAGCTGGCCTCATCTCTCTCTGTCTTTCTGTCTGACTCCTTCTTCTTCACCCTGTCTTCGTCCGCCAGTCGCGTGACGTCACAACAAATAGTTCTGTAAAAGATACTCAGAGATGCATAAAATAACAGTGACGACTATTTCTACCAAATCATAAAATATGCCAATTGAACATATTAATACTAAACAGCAAATACAATAAACAAAATTTGGCCAATGTCAAATTGGCACCTACACAACTTTTATAAATATGGTCCCACATTGTCCACTCATAAATATTGGAAAACATGTCGTTTAATAAAACACAAACATTTTTAGTCCTCTGAAAGGCATGAAAGAGCCTCATTTAAGGGCCTTGTCAACAGCGTAGCATTGTAGGTTTCAAATTATAGTGGAACAACTGAGTGTGCACTTTTGTAATGCCACATGCACACCAAATCTGAGCATTTCTTGCAGTGCGATTCAATTAAAAATCAATGCAGTTCACGTGGTAGGGCGCAGATGCGTGCGTGGCATGGCAGATGATGTGTTTAGAGCGGTGTAAAGTGTGCACATGCACCGAAACTCTGCTCATTACATCTTTTCGCCAAAGTTAAAGGAATTCAACTTTTTATTTGCTTCGTCTCGCGGCAGCCAATCAGGCTTCAGGATGTACTACGTCACACACAGCGTCCTGTACACTAGGTGGGATTTGTGAACCATAACACAAATAAGAATGGTAAACAACATTTTGCCAACATGATTCCGATATATAAAATTGCAATAAAATAACTTGCAATTGCACTCCAATGATGGGCATATCAACACTTTGCCAAAACAATACACAAAATTTGGTCCATTTGGTTGGTCACATTTATGCATCTGGTGGGTCACCTGGCAATCTCCACAGAAGGGAAATGTTACATTTAAATTGTGATAAATTACTCAGGTTGTCTTTTACTATTACCGCTTACAGGTGGTGTACTGCTGAATGTGCGCCGCTGTTGTGATCGTCCATTTTGCTGATTAACCCGGAAGTGCTGACTAACCTGGAATGGGCCACGCATATCACACCGCAGAACTGCCTTTTTTTTAACCTGAGCTCTGGTGTCTGGCCTACCCACAGAATAGGTAGGTAGATGAAGGTTGATGGAACAAATATGACACACGAGTAAAGTAATTGTAGTATTTTCTTATTCAATATTGTCTTTTTCTTAAAACATATTGTACCTAAACACAAACCAAAACTACAGTATAAAACTGAATCATAAATAACAAAAGTATTTTTGTTTGTAAAGGTGACCCTATTCAATGGTAGTTCAATTTAGTCAGCTATTTTACACCCAGAAGCAGAAAATGTCAGCCTCTTATTTTGCATGATATGATTGCTTTCATTCTCAAGATGTTTATTTAGTCTTTATATTGACCAGATTATTTTACTTTTTCATGGTTGCATTGACTTCTTATTCAAGATTAAATATTGTATGTTAAAATAAAATGACTCAAATTCAGCCTTTCTTCTCTTTGTTCTTATTTTCAATAGTTAAAAAAAAATCAATATAAATAGATATTGACCAATACGAAATACTTTTCAGTCATCTTGCCCAGCCCTACTTTGACACCAATTGATGTTGTAACGACAACAGAAGCAAAGAAATAGGTTCTGGGCGGGGGGGGGTTATTTCCCAGTGATAATTTTACAGCTTACCGCCAGCGAGTCCCAGGGACTCGCTGATCAGAAAAGTTTGAGTCCCATTATGCATTTAGAGAGTCCCAAATTTCGAATTCTGAAGTGGTCTACTTATTCAATTGCATATGATAAAAACACAAACAACATATCCATACAATTATAAACAAATGCTGCAAATATTTAAATAATTCAGTAGCAGGCCTGAGGATTTCGGAAATTCACGATAACCGTTTTTTGGTTCCGTCGGATTACCCAATGGGAAACCACGGTAACTAATTTTGGGTTCCGTAAACGTTCATCATGGGAACCCATTTTTCTATTTTGACTGATATTTATAATCAAGAATTCTGAAACTCAAAAGTATAATGTTTCAAGGGTAAATGTTTGAAAACTGCATTAACAATGAACATTAAATCAGCAGCTGTGTAGTCCAGGTTTATTCAAAAAAATAAATGGATCAAAAACTGCTGTACTCATATGGCATCATGAATACAGCATACCACAAAATCAGAGTAGTTTTTCCAATCTCACACTGCAAAGATTAATTTACTGGTAATCATTAATACAGGTAAGTATTGATGTGGCTTGACATCCTCTTCCCAAGACGATGCATGTGTAATCTACTATCTGACGAAATAATCAAACACACGTCATCAATAGTTCTACCAACAGTTAACATTAGCATTACTACACCTTGTGACGAATGTTTTAGTCCTAAAGTTGCCATGCTACAACCAGTAAATTATAGAATAACCAGGACTGTTTCATAATATTTTTCATAGCGGTTAGCCTCTAGATCTAATGACCAACTTGCCTCGTAATCGTGGTACCCGTCGTATCTCGCTTTCGTGTTCTGTGCATACATCACAGGTGAGTTTAGTGATACGCCCTTTGGACGATTCATACGAAAAACCAGACTGGCATTCCCATTTCTTAAATGTCATAATTAGTAGACCTTTGTGAGTTTTTTTCACTGCCATCTCAAACTTTCATCCGCACGATTCCTCAGTTTGCGGACTAAAATAACAACCCTCATGCGCACATAACGTTATCGGTTCCGTCCCCCCCAACACTGAAAACAAAACAAAACGAAAGTAAATTAGAAGAAACACACTCACACCATACTACAAACACACATACAGGCACAGTGAAATCGCGTTGATCATACAGGAGAGATTTGGTCGCGTACAGTCAACTCGTGTGCGGTGACTTTTTTGGTTAAACGATTTTTCGGTCCCGTTAAAATGACACCACGGACACGACACGCTACCGGTAACAATCTTTACCGTGAAATCCTCAGGCCTGCCGTAGTTTTTTTTTTGTTGTTTTGTTTTGACTGAGAAATTTCCTTGCGTCCCAAAAACGCACGTTATTTGGAACTGTGCGTCCCGCGGGAAAATTATGCGTCGAGGACGCGGGATGCAGAGGTACCAAGATGGCTGTATTTCCTATGCAAAGCGTGATCTCACTTATCTTCGGATAAATACATTTTTATGATCCTAAGGTACTTCTATGCCAAAGGGAACATTTCAGTCATGACTTGAAGTCCAAGGCCTATTTTTGGGGGGTAAGCCTCTTTACTATATATTTGTCCTGCACATCATTCCAAATCCGCAAAAAAAAAATCGGTCTACTCATGTTGGAGTATAGGGCAGTGCATGACCAAGTGTATTTGCAACTAAGCCATATTTTCCATCTAGTGTTGAATGGTGAAATTACAATTTAACTTATAGTTGTCCAGAGGTGGGCATTCCGTCCGTCCTGGACGACTATTTTTGTTATTGTTGTTTTTGTTTAAAGGCACGTACTCAGCAAGGACACAAGTGGGTTATTGTCCGTGCCTTTAACTAACTCAATGCCAAAAAGTAAACACGCGTTTGCAAAAATCCAATCATTTAGTACCAAGACGTATAAATCAGTTCTGGGTGTTTTGGTATTAAAACATTAATAAAGAGTTTTGCGCACCTCCTCACGCAGTATCGAGGTTGTGGGAACGATTTCAGGAAGACAAATCACCACTAGATAGCAGGAGTGGCTTTCATCAGGTCTTGGTCCACACACTGTGTGAGTAGTTGTGGGAGTGGTATGGTGATCCTATGTCGCGAGGTGGCTACGCCACCAGTGAGAACATGGATAAATACTGGCAGCTAACTCTACAGCAGAGCTTTATTAAAAAAAAAAAAGATGTCCAAGTCCCATCGTCATCCTTAAGGAACATGTGCACGCACACAAAGTCCAAACTTCATGAAAACTTCATGCATCAGTGCAGGTTTTATCTTGCAATAAACTGTTATTTTGCATTCAAAGTGACCTTTTTTGTGTTGTTTTTGTTGTTATCAATAGGAAGTCATTGTTTGGGTATTTGAGATATCACAAATACAAAAGACATAGCATCAAAGTGGAAGCTCTGCTTGAAATACTATTTGATCTGAAGCAGTGTATTGGCAGATTACACAGGCAACACAGACTGGGCGTGTTTCTGTTAGTCGTTATAGAAATGGGCACCGAAATGGGCGTCCGTACTTGACCCAGTTTGGGTCAATTAACTCATTCAATGCCAGCCCTTTTTTCTCAAATTGGGAGAGTCCATGCCAGCCATTTTTGACCATTTTGACAAATTTTTGAAGGCCTACAGAAAATTGAGTTCTCTCGCCTTTTTCAAAAGGGGGGAAAACACATTAAATCTCTACCTTTTACCATTCTTTAGTAAACAGCATTTTTACATTTCAGGATGGAGTGACTTCACTTTGCTTCAAGCAGACAAGAGGAGGGGTACTTGTCCTCTGTCCAAAAAGGTTTTAACACATCGCCAGTCAGTCTTATTCATGTGCAAGCTGATAATTTCATCTTTCTACAATAATAATAATAGCCTAATGCATTTTATTTGAAGGCAGCTTTCTTGCCATTCAAGGACACCATGCAATGCTACATTACATTTAGTAAAAATTGCAATGAGAACATTTTTTAATTGGGACAGGACAAAATGGCAGGTTGAGTATTAGGCAGTGTTAAACAGGGGCGTTTTGAGTTGTGATATGAATTGAGTGAAAGTCTCTCCTGCCATCATTCTGCCACGGTGTTATCGGTGCAAAGCCTGCGTTGATACTTTGCCATGTGATCAATCGGGGCGGGAATCAGGTGCAAACTGCCCTGAGCTGTCAAACCTGCTGTGATGTCATTCGCACAATGTCCTTTGAAAATTGGACGTGAAGACGGCACAAAGCGCGAGGGCAAATTAAGAGCGGCTAAAGGTGCAATCAGATCAGTTCATTCTTTGTGGATTCGGCTCTGAGCTTTGTCTGTTTTAATCTGTTCCAAACGGGACATAACTAAAATCCCATTTGTCTCTCTCTCTTAGGACAAATATGTTTTGGAAATTTGACCTCCACGCCACATCCCACATTGACACTCTGCTGGAGAGGGACGATGTAAGACTAACCGATGTAATGGATGAGGAGGATGTTCTGCAAGAGTGCAAAGCCCAAAACCACAAACTGGTTGACTTCCTTTTGAGACCAGAGTGCATGGAGGAGCTTGTCACCTTCATTACGCAGGAACCGAGCGCTGATGTTGAGGAAAACATTAAATACAAGTAAGTTTATAGTCTGTAAGCTGCACTGGATTCGAAATTAATTTAATTGAAGAATGTACTATTTGTTTTTTGTGGTGTGCTCAAAACTTTTTTTTAAACCCTTTTTCAAAAAATTATAAAATAAAATAGTTGTTTTCCCCCTCAGCACTTTATATTGCTTGCGTCCTAAACTTGGCAACCTATGTGGCATACAGTATATGCACGATTTTGCTTACAGTTGCACGGACGAACGTGTGTGGAAGCAGCACCTTTTTGTCACGATATATTTACTGACGGGGCGGTACGTGATCGACTGGTGAGCACATCTGCCTCGCAGTGCAGAGGTGTAGGATTCGATTCCGGCTCCGGCCTTCCTGTGTGGAGTTTGCATGTTCTCCCCGTGCCTGTATGGCTTTTCTCTGGGTACTCTGGTTTCCAGAAACATGCATGGCAGGTTAATGGAACACTCTAAATAGTCCCTAGTTGTGAGTGTGAGCGCGAATGGTTGTTCGTCTCTATGTGCCATGCGATTGGCTGGTAACCAGTTCAGGGTGTCCCCCGCCGACTGCTTGATGTAAGCTGGGATAGACTCTAGCACGCCCGTGAGGATAAATGGATGGATGTCTAGTGCCAATTTTTTTGTTACACATTTATCCCAAAGGGAATACATTAGTGGGGCTGATTTGTAGAATAATTCAAATGTTTTATTGAAATGTTATTACACATTTTTGCTCACAGAATATTTTATTGATACAGAATTGGCAATTTTTTAAAATGTTTCATGAAAATATTTAAGAGTTGTAAGGCCACTTTTCTCCTAGTTTTGCTGATTTCTTTTTTCTTATTTGTCACTTTCTGTTTTCATTGAAGGTGGAAGAAAATTGATTGGAAATTCAGATGTTTTTTGTTTTTGTTTTTTTTAGCGAATGGCCCGGCACTATTGCAAACAGCAAGTATGGATGATACTTTGGTTGTTGTAGATGTACTTCTCGATAGAGTCGAACACAATCTGCACCGGCTGGTCAGCTTCCAATTTGTTGTACTGTCATTTCAAAGAACACTGAAGTTATTTTTTTTAAACTTGAATAGGCCTGTCACGATAATTACTCTATCGACTTACCACTTGATAATTAAAATGGACACAGTCACATGAGAGTTTTCTCCATACTTGATAAATTGCCATTTAGCTGTGTGTTTGTTTACATACATCAACAGCGTGCAGTCAGTTTTCTGACAACTGCAGTTGTACAACCACAAAAAGTTGAGTGGCATAAATGGAATTAGCTCCAAACCCCAATGCGTTGGCGGTTTGGGATTTTTTTTTTTTTTTTTTTTTTAATTCAAGCCAGATGAATGCGCGCAGAGCCTGTTATCAACAAACCGGCATGACAAATTTGTATGAAGGAAGTTGCAACACAACAAACCTCAAAGTCCATTTAACACAGGTGTGCCAATTGCATCACCTGCAAGCTAGCGATCTCTTCATCGCCAAGGTGTGACGGTAGCTCTCATGGCATTGACGCAATCACTGCCAGCCCTCCCAGTTTTATGCTATTCTATAATATACAGTAGATGCCTGTCATCGGCAGTAAATGAGAAAAAAAAAAAGTAGACTCCTGCCTATCATCCATTGTGAAATTTGTCAACTGTTTGACATACAGGTCAGCCAGTCATACACCTATTTCATGCACCCAAACACCGGCCGTCCGAATCTGCATCAAAGCTGCCAGTTGGTGTGCTGGTGGTGGTTGTGCTAATGTTGGGGACTGTAACGACTGGCTGACCAGTGCGTCATGCCAGTCGGTCTGCCCGAGGTGCTTGCGGCTGACCGAAAGAGGCAAATGTGGAGCGGCATTTTCGGGCCATTGATAAAAACATTCGGTCCAAGTACTGTTCCAACATAAAGGATGTTCATTGGTAACTGTGCACACGGTTTGATATCAGCAGCTCCTGTCCGAACTCCATCCCCTGCCTGATTCCATTCAGCGCATCATCAAAGTAAAGGGAGAACAAAGAATGTACACTAGTTGTATTGTGCTGTATGGGTTCAAGCAGTTATGCAAGGTACAACAATATTTACTGTTCAGATAAAGAATTCAAAGTATATTTTTCAAACAATAAAGAAGGGAGATCATTTGGTCAAATCCGAAGTCGCTCGGGTGCTAAAGAAATGTGGGCTCCCAGTTTCTTCAAAGGAGGGCAAAAAACACAATGGGACATGGAGGCTCGCCTGTTGCGCAACAGTTTACCTCATGGAAGCTCTTCAGCACTGTGGAGAAACCAGCGTTGAAAGAAATGCTGAAGATGTGTCCGATGAATTGCCTTAAAAAAACTTATATTTCACACACAGCCATTCAAGCCTTGTCCAACCAGGTTAAATAGGACATGCCGAAGGAGATAAGGCCAAACAAAAAAGATAGTGTGTTTCCGGTAACATGAAATTTCAGCATAGGGTCGGTCGGTAGGTCGGACAGTTTTTTTCTTTTTCTTTTTTTCTTTCCATCAAAAATCGAAACAAAATAACCATAAAACATAAAACAAGGAGACATTGAACCCCCCGCTCCCACCTATTTAGTTTACTCCCCGCTCAAGACTCGGGGCTGGGGCGCGCCGCCGCCCCCGCCGTCCT